CTGGAGGCCCTCGTGCGATGCGAAATCAGAAGGAGGAGGATCAACAACAGCAGGAGCAAGAGGGAAAGCGGAGGACGGGAAAGAAACGGGGGCGCCAAGGACAAGGGACGAGCCGGATCCGGACATGTGGCCCGCGCTGAGGCGAGAGCGCCATCTTGACGCGCTCCAGGAGAGGGCCTCGCCTTCGGAGCTTCTCGCCTCTCGGCGGCAGGTGGCGGAAGGCCGGCGGAAGAAAAACAAAAAAGCCGACGGCGGGACCAAGGTCGGCGGAAGGCGGCAGCAGTAAACGTGAGACGTCAACATTTGGGGGCCCAGGGTTTCCGGAATCGGCCGTCACTTGTGGGGGGCCAGGTTGACCGCGTGGCATGAAGCAAGCAGGCCCTGAGGAACAACGGGCTCTGGACCCCAGGGCTTCCCCCCGGGACCAGCTCTTCATCCTCGGTCGTTTCCTGACGGTCCTGGAGCCCGTGGAGGGCATCAGCCCGAAAGCGCGAAAAACCTCCAGGGCCCGTTTCGCCAGCACCAGCTGCCCCCATACGCAACACGCTGCCTGGAGCGTACTGACACGAGGGTCAACACGTAGATCGAAGACGTGGGTCTGGCGCGCGACGTTCACCAAAACGTGGGTCAACACGCGCTGCACCAACACGCGGCGTGTGAACACGGTACGTTTTTTCTTTCCATTTTTTCCCAACCATCCTGCGTTGGGTTCTCGTTTTGAATAGAGCGCTGCTCGCGCGAACCTTCCTTCCCTCCTTCCCGTCCCTCTCTTCCCCCCTGCCTTTGACCTCGCCATCCCTGGGGGGCTGCGATCTGTGAAACTTTCGCCACTTTCGAGGCCTGCTGGGGGGCCCAGCACAGTGGGTACCCACCGCGGATTCAAATTAGACCTCGCCATCCCTGGGGGGCTGCGATTTGTGAAACTGTCGCCACTTTCGAGGCCTGCTGGGGGGCCCAGCACAGTGGGTACCCACCGCGGACTCCAATTAGACCTCGCCATCCCTGGGGGGCTGCGATCTGTGAAACTGTCGCCACTTTCGAGGCCTGCTGGGGAGCCCAGCACAGCGGGTACCCACCGCGGAGTCAAATTAGACCTCGCCATCCCTGGGGGGCTGCGATCTGTGAAACTGTCGCCACTTTCGAGGCCTGCTGGGGGGCCCAACACAGTGGGTACCCACCGCGGACTCAAGTTAGACCTCGCCATCCCTGGGGGGCTGCGATCTGTGAAACTGTCGCCACTTTCGAGGCCTGCTGGGGGGCCTAGACCAGTGGGTACCCACCGCGGACTCAAGTTAGACCTCGCCATCCCTGGGGGGCTGCGATCTGTGAAACTGTCGCCACTTTCGAGGCCTGCTGGGGGGCCCAGACCAGTGGG